AACAAGAAGCTATAAGAAGAAAAGAGGAAATGGAAGTAGCAAGGAAGAAATATAAGGAAAAGAAGTTGCATAGATATAAGAAATTAAGCAAAAAGAATAACAGAGGACAACCTCTCATGAGTGGCAGAATTGAGTTAATGTTGGAAAAGTTAATGGAAGAAAGGAGTACAAAATGATTTGTTTTTTCTTAGTTTGTGTTGTATTGTTATATATTTACTGATTTTTTTCTGCATTTTATTTTGAGATAATTTTACTATGCAAAGTGTATGTAATGTATGAACATGTTTTCAGTGAAAACTACTGTGGATTGGATGAATAGAAAAGGAAAGTTTGTATTGGGGTTTATTCTCGGACAGGTATAGTGGCATGAATTGTGTTGCATGGATATTTTTACACGACTAGAGTTGGTGGAAGCGTCTGAACCTATAATGATGTGCATTCAGCCAAAAAACTCAGATAGACAGTAGGTGTCTTGCAAAGTAGTATCATTGGAGAATTAAAAATAAAATGGTGATACTGAATAACTTGTTTATCTTTTAGAAATTCATGATTTTAGGATACTAAGAAATGTTGAAATACCCAAATAAATGAATACATAAACACACCCTCTACTACAGTAATGAATGCTTATGCATTCTCAGGGGCATCTTTCCACTTTTATTCATATTACATAATTCTACTCCAGAAGTAAACAAGCTGCCCAAAAAATGGATGAATAAAGTAAGTTCTTTGGAATATTATTATTTTCTCCCCCTCTATTTTTTTACAAATCATAATTTGAGGATTGTGAACTAGATGCAAAAATTCTAATGTTTTATAGCCATGTTTGTTTTTAGTCATCCAGAAATTATTATAAAGGCTTTATATAGATTCATTTATCTGGATATACTTTTACCTTAATAAATTTTTATGCAATTTAGATGAGAGTGAATATTGTAATTTTGATTTTATTATTGATGTACAATTAAATGAATGGTTATGATGAGGGCTTGTGCCATTAGGAAATGCTTAGAATAATTCTTAATCTTTCAATACGACAGTTCATTTCATATGTACTTGTCCAAAATCAACAACAAATTTAGTTTCTCTTTGACATTGATAAGTAAACAAGAAAATATGCAGTTAAGTTGCCCTTTTAAATTTGGGCATTCAGGAATAGGAATCCTGTAAATGAATAGGAGAAAGGGATGAAAATACTGAATATCTTCAAGCTCGAGTTATTTGCATTAATCATTCTCTAGGGTAAACCTGATAAAAGGAAATTAATAATTAAAGTCAATATGAATGCAAAGATAACTTTTGGAGCATTATAATGTTTTTCATTTGATTTCAGTTTATTTCACACAAATTTCTCCTGACAAGCAAAGTTTGTGCATATGGCTATGGTGTTTTAAATATTTAGTATAAGGTTACCAACCTTAGAGGCCATAGGATACTGTCTGGGGCTATGAAGTAATTTGATTTATGTCCATGATTTCTTTTTTCAGTGGCCTGTAGTATCTAGATATATTATCTGTCCCATAACACTGAATAAAAATAATTCTTTGTAGTGCTATAGCTGTTTGTAAAAAATGACAAACATTGAAGTGGGCTAAGGAGATTATTATATATTGGCCAGAGACCAAAGAAAAGAAAAGAGGTGTAACCACAGATTATTTTCTTTCACAAGAGAAATATTCACAAAGTCCACTTGACTGAATGTACCATACAAGCAGAGAATGTGAATTAAAATACATGGCTACTATGATTTGTATTCATTACCACTTTAAATAAATTTATTACAATTCCTTAGGCATTGAACTAATTTCCCAAATTGCACCTCATCCATTACCCCCAATCTATGCCTGTTGTCATCATGGACGTGAAGGGTGTAGGAGATAAGAGCTGTGGCCCAATGTAGGGGATCACCCATCTTGGACCTCAGCCCTAATATCAACTAATTTTGGATGGCCCTTTCTTCTCCCCTTCCTTTTCTTTTTCTTCTTTAGTCCTTTCTGACCACTACCTAAACATGTAAGAGTTATGCTGAAGGGATGAGAGGCTGGCTTTGTAAGTCCTGAATGGTCTCTGGAAGCCATGAGTACAGTATTCCCTTGGGTAATCACCAAGCCCTTACCCATAATGGGGACCCTGAGAGTAAACAGTTTCTCTTTCCCACATATTTCAGATCAGTAATGAAGACTTTGAACACTTGAGGTCTGCCCTTTCATCAGCTAGCCTATCTAAATCTGACTTTTGTTTCTTAACCCCTGCCTCTTCTTTTATCACAGCTCTGAGCATTGATAATAGTACCTCTTCCTCAATGCTTGCTGTCAACTCTATCCATTCTGAATCATCCACGTAGGTCTCATTATTCAACCTTCACAATACACCCCTTTTTCTCTCTCATCCTCCAGCAGGTGGAATTAATTCTTTGTATTTCCCCCTACACCTCCCTTACTCTGACAATACCCTCATCTTCCAACAATGTCGTTTCCAAAAACAAGTAGGCAAAGTTTCCTTTTGCAGCAGTTCTAATTGTTGTAATAGTTACATCTGAGTCCTAAGCCCATGCATTACCTACCATGACTGACTTCACTGGCAAACTTATTGCAGAACTGTTTTCATCTCCAAAGCTGATTACCCTGTCTATGACAAAGACTGGTAAGACTAAAAACCTGTTTTCCTGGCTCATTGACTTATGATAATTGGTAGTAGTGCAACACTATCCTTCCAGAGGCCATTGTAAGTCCTACATCAATATTGCCAAGATTAACTTCCATAGACTTGACCTTCCTCATAAAGTTTTATATCTACCCAGTCTGGCCAGATCAACCCCTTCCCTGTCAGAAAAGTTGGCATTTTGGTCACCCTGCCAAACTGTTGCTCCACAGCCCACTGTACTCTTGTGTGCCTAATCTGATCATAACCATTAATAGCACTGCACAGTCATGTATGTGTGTTAATCGTGGTGGCTCCAACAATGTATTTTATAGGAGTTGCCCTGCCAACAAAACTGAATCTGAGGTAGCAGTTCTCAGGTTCAAGCTAGGCCTCACTTTCCATGGGGCCAAACAGGATGCACACCAATGAGGTTTTTCTCCCTCTACCTATTCCCTCGTTGTTCTTCGCTCTGTTCCTCTCCCATCTTCTCAGGATGTCTCAGCATCTCCCCCATATCCATCCTCCTCCCACACTCTCCCAACAAACTCCAATTGATAATATGAAGTACAATATAGATTAGTTGCAGTTATTCCAAGGTAGTTTGAACCAGGTTGCTCCACTCATCTTAATGAAAGTCTTAACTCCCAACTTCTGAAGTAAGCCCTACCTCTGTGCCTTTATTCATTGCAAATATAAAACATTTTTTTCTTGGTTGCATTGTTTATTTTTCTACCATTGTTATTAATAAACAATTCTGAAAGAAAATGCACTGCATACCATAAAACTTTACAATAAAAGTATGCTGTAAGATATCAGATATAACTAGATATACAATTATTTGGATAATATACTCATTATCATAAAGTACCAAAAGCAAAACAAAATGTCTCCTCTTTTCTTTGATAATGAAGAGCTCCTTACCATTGACAACAGTCAGAATACTCCTGGGAATAAGTAAATTTCACTTTTTGGTTCAACAGGACAGATGAAAGTGCTTATTCCTGTCATTCAGTTGTGCAAAATGTATTAACACTACAAAAAAAAAAAAAAAATCAGGTGCCCCAGTTTTACCCTGGCTTTCTTGGGAGATTACTCAAGGTTATCCATCCCTGTCATCATATCAAATTCCCAGCATATCTACACAAGAACTACATTGCCACAGCAAAGCACATTCAAACTGGCTTCAAAACGTTTAAAATGCATAACAGTATTTAACAATTGAATACAATTGTAGATCAATGCTAATGAAAAGAGAGAGCATGTGGGCAAAGGATACTAGATCTGGCACCCATATCCCAAATATGTGCCTCAGCCTGAATAAATGGGTAGTAGTGGTAAGGCATGGTAATCAGTCTATTGATAATTAGTAGTGTATTCAAAATAGAGCGATAGGGTGAGGCTTGGGTGCAAAGTCCACTTAGTAAGGAAGATTTTTTTGTTCAGAAGCCTATAATTGAAGGATTCCTAGAATGGTTAATGGTCTAAACAAATAAATATGCCAGAATCAAAGGTCATAAAGCCCTGAAATAAAAATGGGGTAATGATTAGGACAAAGTATGGTAGATGCAGCTTAGTGAAAAGGGTAGAAGCGAAGAGCAGTGTATGAAGGCCATTCGGGACTGACACAGACAGCCTCTCCCCATAGCTCCCACACCTTAGGAAGTGGACAGAAGAGAAGGAAAAGGAATGGGGAAGAAGAGACCACACTGAGGTCCAAGGTAGGGGAGATCCCCTACTGCCAGCCTGTCTCAGTCTCTCTTATTGATCTGTTTAATGAAAATTTTCTGCTGCATCAATGTCTAAGGTCGTTGAAATATAGTAATAGGACGAGGCTTGGGCATGAAGCTCCCAGGAAACCAAAGGTTACCTGGGAGTATTTATAAAGTATATGTGACAAGTTAAATTTTTAGCAATTAGAACAAAATGTGTTAGATGTCGAAGACTGGTGTTGGTTAATATGGCAGTGAAAAGGGTAAAGAGGAAACAGCAGATGGAGAACAAAGGCTGTTAGGTATGGTAAGACAAGCCTAGAGAAATTCCACCTTCAAGGATGCCCCAAAGCATTAGCTTACTGCATGCCCTAACTATTAAAGTAAACTTGAGGACAAAGACGAATTGGGCGAGTTGGTTAGTCAAGAATGCTGGTTGTCTTTAAACGGGAATTGTAAGGACATCTTCCGTTGATTTATGGTTGTCACCATGTATAAATGACAAACTTTGTAGTACTTTATATGATATCTGGATTTAGATTTTGTTATTCACTGTCTGATTCATAATAAACATTGTGGAGAGACAGGAACAACTAAGTTTCATACTGAATTCATGTAATTCATAATAAAGAAAGAAAACAATATGGAAAAACAAAATTTGGTAACATCTATTTTATTTCAGTTCAAAATTGCCATATATCAATGGCTACACGAGAATCTTATTGTATAATGACAACTGGAGTTGAAACACTTGGTTACCTGCCTATCAAAAAGAAGTTTCTCCATACAATGTATGATATACCCTTGGTAAAACAATGCTTTAATATGCAATAATTACAAAATCATATAGTAATCTCCAGTGTCAATCACTTTCTAAAAAATCCCTATACATACAATCATAAATCTAGACAAAAGTAGCAACTTCATAATTGCTTACGGTAGACACTCATGGCGAGTTGTAAGCACACCCCATTACAAACCACAAAAAGGTTTTTGTTATAAAGACAATCAGGAATTCTTAAGAGCATGATGCATGGTGCTAATATTTGGTTTCATCTCAATGCATGAGATTATTTTTAAACAAAGGCACTTAATAAATTTCGAATAATAACGACAATCTACCAAGAATCTCAACTCCCTAAATAATGTATGTGGGTCATAAGGGAATACAATATATTCACCATCAAATCTTAACACAAGAACTTATTGTGTCCAAAAGATGTTTCTTTGTACTATCTTGAACAAACCACAGTACACCACAGCATATATGAACTTAAATCTGGGGAAAATTATAAAAAAGAAATCCCCACAACTTTCTCCTTTTCATCTCAAAATCACAAAGAGAACAAGGAAGAAAACTCAAGAAAATGATGGTACAAAATTCTTGATATAAACATACTAATATGCAAGTAAAATTATCCATCTCCATATCTACTGAAAAAGGCAGATAGTTTGAAAGGAGAGCTCAATTAACAACCAAGCATGACCTACTCCAAAGTATTATAATACTCTGAATTGTTTACAGCATATCTACCCAGTGCCACTGGACTTACCATCTAATATTGTGACCAGCTTGGGTGTTTCACAAAAAAATAACCCATTTAGTTCACATACTCCAAAAAACCTCTCTTATACATAGAAGCATAACGAAATGTAAAATAGCATTAGTGCATAAAATACAATTTTCAATGCTATATCCTGATTCCATGGTTTCAATTTTATTATTATTTTTTTCTTTTTGTAAAAACATTTTATTTAAAAATGCCAATATGCAAGTATTCCCTTAGAAGAACTATGGCAAAGAGTAAAATGTTCTGAATGTGTGTAATAAATATATATACATAACTAATACATACAAATATGCATACAGACAGACATACAAGACATACAAAATATATACATATCTATTACAAACACTCGTCAACAAGGACACTAATACAAGCTATCTTAATATCACTGTCATTGTTGAAATACTCTAAGCAATTTTCTTCATTAATATTGTTATCTGGTCAAGATGTGCTTCATTAGGAACACTTGTCTAAACTAAATATTTTGTGTCTATACATAATGACAGTACTCATTATTCATCCTCGGGATGGTCATGTCCATTTTCCTGGGGTGACCTTGAACGAGATCCAGAGCGGCTGTCACGTCTACGTGGTGATGCAGAGGGTGATCGTGATCGTGACCTTGACCGTGATCGGGATCGAGATCGTGAAGTTTCTTTCTTGTTATCTATTGGGCTGCGAGATCTAGATCGTGATCTACTACGGGATCTGCTGCGAGAACGAGCTGTCTCCATTTCCTTAGGCTTGTCTATTGGCTCCTCTGACATCTTTCTAGAGCCTGACCGTGAACGGCTGTCTCTTCCACCTGATCTTGACCTCTTTCTTTCTCTATAAACAGAATTACAATGTAAGTACCTTTATAAAGAAGTTTGTATAATTTAATTTGTCATTAGACCAATAATTATTTCAACAACTTTTAAGATTTCTACTTACACAGACTTTGACCTGGACCTAGATCGAGATTTTGACCTTGATCGTGACCGAGGGGACCTTGAACGGGATCGGGAACGTGACCGTGAGCGAGAATCCTTAGACCTGGACCTTGATCGTGACTTAGTCCTTGATCTCCTTGACCTTGAACGTGAACGGCTCCTACCTCTTGATCTGTAAATATGTTAAACTATTAGTTCAAATGTCATTGATGCAGACTTGCACTGACACAATTTTAATTTATCAGTCATAAATCTTACTTTTAAACTAACATCAAACACTTACCTTGACCTTGAATATGACCTGCGGGATCGTGAGCGTGAACGAGATCGCCTGCGAGATCTTGAGCGGGAACGGGAGTGTTGTCGATCCTCAATCAGCCTAATTCGCCTTCCATTCAGTTCCGTATCGTCTAACTTCTCAATGGCCCTCTTCATGTCAGACCGTGTGGCAAACTCTACAACACTGTCAGGAGAAAAATAAATATGGATATATAGTATTAATTATCTTTAACAACACTAACTCTTAATGCATTAAATAAGAAAATACTGAAAATTAGAGGTATTAGAAGAAGAAACGATGATAATGATTAAGCAGCAGAACTCAAGTGTAACTTTTATTGCACTGTACTTTTAAAAGGTATAGTAAAATTTCACTTACCCTTCATAGCGTCGGTGCTTGTGGGCATCTGCAAAGGTAATTTCTCCTGCTTTGCGCATGTAATCCTTGAGATCCTGCAGCAGATTAAGAAAAATATTTTAATTAGAAAATCAGTTCGTTAACAAATTATTAAATGATTCCATTTACACTAAAAATAAATAAATAAAATAAAGCTTACTACCAGAGGTTAAAATGAAAACCTATATGAGGGACCTAAAGTGAATCTGTGAGTAGTGTTTATAATGCTTCATTTCAGAAGGTCACTGTCTCAGCAAGGGACTCTTCTCACCTGACTATCTAAAGCTTAATTTTCAAGGAAGCTTTTTTTTCCAGTGAACAAGTTCCTGAGCTAGAGGTAGATGAAGAGGTATCTGGCATATACAATCATGCACTGTGTCAGCTTCCCTGCCTTCCTGTAATGTGCCTTCCATATTGTTGGCTGGGTGGACTTCCCCCAGGCAGATGAGCTGTGATTGGCCAATCACCAACATGCTTCAACCCTGCCCTACTCTGTCAGCTCACTTGTGAGACATCCTGCCACTGTGCCTGGCTTAATGGGGAGGCTAAGTGTTAAGGAGAGATGATGCTTCAGCTACAACACAGAACTAGAGCAAGCATTCATACAAACAATAACCAAGGAGGAAATAAGGAAAGCAAAGTAAGGGACTTTCTCAAACCACTGATGATATAATCATGTATGAAGGCAACAGCAGGTAGTTATACCCTAACGTGGGCGTAACTCATGCTACGCAGATTATTGGTCAGGCCCTCGGTCCAGCTGGGTGGGACGGGCCGGCCCCCTGGGACAGTGTGGGACGGCAGGGGTACGTCCGGGTTGTTCTTGGTAACCTCCCGGCCTCTCCCGTCCACCTCTACTTCTCACTCACCGGGTGTGGGGGGGGCCATCTTAAAACATAGGCGGAATGTTTAACATAGAGCGCAGCACGAGTTTCAGTATTTCACATTACTCATAAATATCCGTGACTCTTCTCCATCTTAATACCCTATCTTCTTTACCACTACCATGCCTGAATTCAAACTAGAAAATTAATAAACCTATGACCATCCTCCTACTCAATTAACAATTATCCAACTTTATTGCAAGCTGTTTTATATTTGTCTTGAGGCTAAAACATAATCACTACTTGAACTGTATATACTGTATATATACATTACACATTTGTAACAAGGACATCGACCATACCTAGTAAAAAGCCTTTGACCTCATGGAATACTTTTCCACTGATATTTCAGTGGTTTCAGGTTATTTACTCATTTCCTATAAGTCCTTTTCCTGGCAAACTTAAAAGTATTTCTCTACTAAGGGTAACCCGACCATGCTTAAAGCTTTTAAGTTTAATTCCCAATCAGAGGTAATGAAGCATGCATGCTCACAGTCCATGACAAAGTCTCCCCTCCTAGGAGAGGGTGTATGAATAGAGTAATAAATATACAAATATAATGAAAATAATGTGAATTAACGCAACCCTTTTTCGAGTATTGTTGAGAGCATGTCATTAACATTCATTAAATTGTTGAGTAGTAGTCAAGTATCAATAGTAATGCTGATCTATGATAAATAAAAAATAAAATGAATTTGCCTTTACTCAGAAAATGTGTGGTTTTACATTTTATTGATAGAAAAGGAGAAAAAATTGTCTGCAGATATACAGACAAAAGTGAGAGGAATCTTCTGGTGTACAGAAGTGCCAGTACGCATTAGGTAAGAGTATGTTCTGGAATGTAAAGATTCATTGTTTATCAGATCAAGAAAAGGTCTGACAAATATATTGCTTGGCAGGTTAACAAAAACAAGCAAGCAGTCAATAAAACTACTGTGGATAGACCCTTTTAGCATTGAAACAAGTTTATAAACACTGAAACGTGATATGGTCTCATTAACTGTTGATGTTACAAGTAACTGAAAGGGTCATCAGTAATGCTTATTACACAGCCAGGTCTAAACTAATCTTGTTTGTGAGGAATTCACTTAGAAGTCCATAAAATCCAAAAAATAATAATCTATTAATGTAAATCAACATCAAACTATAAATTAAAGCTTTCCCTTACTGTAATCTTAAACCATTGGTGCTGGGTACATGGACTGTCCACTGTAGTTTGTCAATTTTGTTTAAACAGATATGTTTCACTAGCACTTAGTCACCAAGGAGTCGATTATTAGGCCTACCTCACCTCATCTGTTTATCCCATTACTTGAATTTGATTTCTGATACCATTATATTCATCAATATTAAAATAAATGACATTATCCTCATCATAATGTTACCAACAACAATAAAAAAAAAAAAAACAATGAATATGGTGTACAGCAGTCTTGTAGTGAGACCAATAACAGATTCTTTGGTGAATAACACTCATAAAACAATCTACTTGCAAACCAAATATATGCCCTCCTGGCATGAATGGGTTGTGTGTGCAAAAGTGTGTATGAGAAAGGGAGGATATAAAAGAGACGAGTGAGGGGAGAGGAGAGGTATAGTAGAAGGGAGGGAGGTAGATAGAGGTAAAGGGAGGGAATGACAGGTGAGGGTAAGGAAGGAAGGAAGGGAGAAAGGGGGGAAGGAAAAAAAAAAGGAGAGAGAGAATGTGTTATGGTATGGGTGGAAAAAAAAGGGCAATGAGCCTCCAGAAAATTGGCCAACTCTACCAAGGTTATCTAGGAATTTTAAGACCTTGAAAAATGTCAAAAGCAGAAGAGGATACTAAGAAACATTTCAAATTGCCAGTTACAACTCAGTTGTCCTGAAATATCAGTGCCTTAACAAGCTTTGCACTTTCACCTGTTAAAGGCAGCGGGTGGGGACTAGAAATGAATGAATGAGGAAAGGAAGAGGTCAGTGTGGTTGAGGAGAAAAAGGAAGAAAAAAGGCATGAGACTGAAAAGAGAAAAAGAAAAAAGGCATGAGACTGAAAAGAGAAAAAGAAAAAAGGCATGAGACTGAAAAGAGAAAAAGAAAAAAGGCATGAGACTGAAAAGAAAAAGAAAAAGGCATGAAAGAAAAGAGAAAAGGAAGAAAAAAGGCATGGGAAAAAGAGAAAAGTAAGAAGGGGGTGGAAAATCTCAATTTTGACAAAAGTGGGGATAGAGAACGATGGGGCAAAATGGAGGAAGGTTATATGTTCAAGACTACAATAAATGGTTGAAAAAAAATGAAGGCCGATAGATCTGAATTCTGGGAGATTTTGAAGGGTTATCTTTAAGTAATGTAGCAAAGCAATTACTTATCATAACTGCTCCAAAAACAGAAATCAGATTTCCACTGAGGTCATCATCAATGTATTCACAGCTACAAATACTAAAATGCAGTAAAAATGTTTCTTTTCTACCAAAAATAAGACTTGTTACAATATACTGTAAAATATTAATAGCATAACTATTTGGAAAGGCCAAATCCTAGTGTAATTAACCACTATGATCCGGATGATGTACTCATCATATCATGAGGCTTAGGGAGCTAGTGATGTGAATATGCTGTCATGAGAAAACTTGCCTGAGGGCCAGGGTGTTGGGGTCTTGCCATCAAGAATTTCAGCTGAAGGCCAATGATGGGAATGACTTACTATGAGTACACAAAGCTCTTGGAGGGTGGTAAGATTCAAGAGGGCATTTAGGAAGGGGCTTCTACATTATTCCTATCAATGGATGAGTTTGGAATGTAACACCTGTGAGCCATGCCTAGAAGAGTGCTAGCTCCAGGGAGGATGCAGTAACCCTGTTCAGGATCCTATTCCAACCTACTGTGATTGGCAGCGCAGGTTGTATTAGAGAAAATCAAATGTGAAAAAAAGACATTAAAGTGTTAATTAGTCATTATCATTGCACTGAGTTATGGATCACCTGAAGAGATGATATGGAGTCTGTGCAAGGAAATCATTCTATTAACATGTAGATAAAGCAAATAAAATGACAAATATACATTGAAAAATGGTGAAAAAGCTAAAACCCATGTGCAGAATAATAAAAAATAACATTGCCAAGGGGAGGAAAGGAGTCTTGTCACTGCACATGAGTGTTCATGTGCCCCCGACCAACAAGCCGCACACCCGTCAGAGTGGCCGCTCAAGTAAGCAATATGTATTTTGGGCCACGTGATGGCTGCGAAGCATCTGGATCCAAAGGGTTAAGTTTAAACCTTAAAATAAGAGGTGATACTAGCAGATACACAAGCACTGTATATCTTAATTTACTGTGATAAAGTTGTCACTTTGAACTTGTTACAAATAAAATGAATCAAAACAATTTTCCTTGTGATATAAAAACTGTTGTCAAAGCTTAAGCAATACACAATTCAAAGTGGACAGACTTTGAATTGCCATTGAAAATTCCCTATGTATCAGAATAAATATCAGTTACTATATTCTATAATGCAAAAAATGATTCATAGATGACCAAGCATAAAAGGAACAAAAGAAGGACCAACTATTTATGGAACTTTCTTTGTGGTACATAACAAACAAGCCATTCCATACTTAAATACCTTGTGACTTGCTTTCAACATTCCAATACCAATTGTTTTCAACCATACAATAAAACTCTTCATAAACATTCTTAATGTTAAAGTATCAGTAAAGGTCAACTGATGAAGGAAGCACAAAAAACTAACAAGAAATTATTTGATACTAAGAAGTTTAAGCGAGAGAAAAAAATTAAAGCTCTGATCATGAGCACAGCTAAACAGACACTATCATCAATGAGGTATAATATATATGCCAATTAGTTGATGTGCAAAGCAAGGAGTGAAAGGATAAAGATGAGGAAGGAAGAGAGGGGGAAGGAGGGAGGGAAAGGGGCAGAGAAGGGAAGGGAGAGAAGGGAGAGGGAGAGGGAGAGGGAGAGGGAGAGGGAGAGGGAGAGAGGGGAGAGAGAGAGAGAGAGAGAGAGAGAGAGAGAGAGAGAGAGAGAGAGGAGAGAGAAGAGAGAGAGAGAGAGAGAGAGAGAGAGAGAGAGAGAGGGAGGAGGAGAGGGAGGGAGGGGGGAGGGAGGGAGGGAGGGAGGGAGAGAGGGAGGAGAGG